TCCTCCTCCTCCTCCTCCTCCTCCTCCTCCTCCTCCTCCTCCTCCTCCTCCTCCTCCTCTGCTCCTCCTCTGCTCCTCCTCTGCTCCTTCTCTGCTCCTCCTCCTCTGCTCCTCCTCCTCTGCTCCTCCTCCTCCTCCTCCTCTCCTCACCCCTGTGCAGGGAGAAGTATGAGAAGCTCTGCGACAAGGACATCACTTGCTTCGAGCCTGAGAGCGTTGGCAACGTAGCCAAGGGACTTGCGTTCCACAAGTACTACTTCGACTTGCCGTCAGGTCATCGCAGTCCCTCTCCTCCTCTCCTCCTCTCCTACTTCCCTCCTGTTCTCTTTACCTGTCCAACTTTTTGCTCTCCTCTCCTCCCTGCTTCCCATCCTCCGCTTCACTCCTCCTCTCCTCCTGTACTGGTGACCTTGATCGAACCTCCCGTTTCTCACCTCCTCCTCCACCTCCTCATCCTTCCCTTCTCTCTCCTCACTTGTGCCCATCAGGTCCGTCCTCAGGCATCAAGAACAACGTCACTCTAGCTGACCTCAACGTGCGCATCCTCGGGGAAGGAAACTCAGCTGTGGCTTGCTACAACAGGTGTGGCTCAGAGGATGGGGCGTCTGTGACACAGCCCGTGTCAGGCTGATCCAGAAGCTGGAGGACGGGAGCCCAGTGACGGTGAAGTCCCACGAATCCAGGTACCTGCGCTTCCTCCCTGCCTTGCAAGGCCTTGACGGCTGCGGCGGCAGAGTGTTTGAGATGAAGCAAGGGAAGTGGGTCTGCGTGCATTTCCATCGCTCGTGAAGTGGGAGAGGCTGGAGAGAGGCGGTTAATCACTTAGTTTATACACCCACGAGCCTCAGCTCCCATCAGAAGGAGAAGTCTGGGAAGTCAGTGGCTTCTGGGTCCTGAGACGAAAGGTCTTGTTCCGCCTCCTGCACTCCCTCGCCCCCCTCAGAATCTGCAAGAAAAGATTAGCAGGTGGGATGAGCAGGTCACGACGAGGGGTCTAGATTGCCTTTCTCCGACGTGTCCTGGAAGAACGAGAGGTCGGGCTGGTTGACGATGGCGATGAACTTCGGTTCGGATTTCTCCGACTCTCTTCCATTCTCGACAACTCTCACGGCCTCTCCCTTCGCACCTTCCTCCTCTCCCCCGCCGCTCGATTCAATGTTCGAGCCCAGCACATCACTGCTTCGCTCTTCCTGTACCAATGTTTCTCTCCTCTCCTCTTCCTCTCCATGCCTCGCTCTACTTTCCCCTCCCACCGCTTCATCATCTTCGCCTACAAGAGTATTCAGCGACATCTTGTCTGTTGTCCCCGTTCCCTCTCTTTCCGTGTCGCCATGTGTGCCCAGGCGGATCTTGACATCCTTGTCTTGGCCGTCGCGGGAAGGCCCAAAGCAATTCTTCAAATACGCTCCTCCCCCCCCGTTCTGCCCCGGTGGGTTTTCCTGGTCGCTTTGTGGTGCGCTGAGTTATAGTCAAGCAAGTGCTCCTGTCAAGGCATGCAGAACAACCTCGATCGAAGCTCGGAGGGCTCCGTAATGAACAACTTCATAGAAGGGAGGTTGTCGTCAACACGATCAGCCTTCCGGTTCTGCGATGGTGATGGAGACGATGTTGATGTGTCCCGGTTGTGCCTGATCGACAGGATCTGCACCTTATGATGACGTCAGCACCAAGCGCACAGGAGGAAGATCTCACCATTTCTGTGCCTGACTTCCTCGCATAGTGCGGTTTCAGATCGGAGAACGTCAGAGTTCGATCAGCCTGTGGAGCAACCATTCCTCAACAGAGAGGCGGAGCAGGAGGGCAAGCTACCGCGCTGTTGCTCCGCTGACCTCGAAACTTGAGGTACATGTCCTCGTCAAAAGTCGCAGCGATCGGGAGGGTCCTCGTCCAAGAGCTCATGTTGACTCTTTCCTGCTGCTGCTCTCCACCCCCTCCCCTCTCCGCCGCCTGCACGTGACCTTTCTGCGTCTGCAGGAAGAGCTCCTCCTCCAGCGTTGACTCCAGCGCGTGCGCCCATGATCCCTCGGCCATGGCGGGCGGGGACCCTCGGGACGCCACCGCCAGCTCTTGTGCGAGGGTGTAAGCCTCCTTTTCGAGGAGCGCCCCGACATTGACTGGCGCTGTGGGAAGAGCATGATGGAGTTGCTCGAGAGCCGTCCGGCTCCTCTCTCCCCTGCTCGACTTGTAGTTTGTCAGGTAAGGGTTCCTGACGTCTGCTACGCTGCTGGGAACATGGACTTGGGGCAGTTGCCTCGGAGGGAGCTGGAGGGGCTGCCTTGCTCTGAACCCTACGCTTTGCGCCAGCTTCTCCACCTCCTTCTGGATGTTGGGCTCCTTCTTCGACTGCCTGCCATGAAGCGCCTCCGAGAAGGTCTCGTTCATCTGATTCGTTTCCTCCCCGATGATCAGAAAACTTGACGCGTCTGCAAGCCTGAACGAGGCGAGGGATTCAGTCTTCAGCACACAAGGCAGGAAGACATGGTATTCTAGAACCTGCTGGAGAGGGGAACAGTCTTTGGATTCCCATCGCTGCCATCGGCAGGTTTCCTCCTCTCCTTGTCGTTGCGACCCTCCTGTTCCCCGGGGCTAAACACTCTGATTCACCAAGAAGGCTCAGATTCTCAAAATCTCCCGGCTCCATTCATGACACTCTCAGTGTCATCACTGAGAGATTTGTCTGCTCCTTGCTCAATCCTTCCCTACCCTTCCACCTCTGTCCTTGAACCTTCATCTTCCCCTTCTCACCTCCAATCAAGATTCCTCTCGATCAAGTTTCTAGATCGCAACATTCCCTCAACCCAGGCTCGCCTCCTCACCTTTCGGGCCCTCTTCTTGCTCTCTTCGGATCCATCCCCTCCTCTCTTCCTCCCCGCGCCTCCTCCTCCCTCCCCATACTTGCTCTGTAGCGGCGGCATGTTGTCTCACTGTCCTGACCGGATTGACCGCGGGAGTCACTCAACAGGATCTGCACTTTAAAGAAGGTTTGCCGGACCGGCCACGCCAGTTCATTGAACCACTACTGTCAGTCGGCCCCTGTCCGGTCACAAGCCGGGCCCGGGGCTCGGACTCAGTGACTGCGGCTGGCCCGAACTTCAGAAGCCTCTGTTCGGGCCCGCCACGAGCCGCACCCGGGAAACTGGACAGGCCCGATCACCGCGGGGCCGTTGCCAGACTCAGCGGCGATTGATGCCCCGGGCCCCTTAAACCCCGGCGGGGCGGGCCAGTGAGCCGCCGCTCGGACGGTCTCTGGCAGGCTCCGGGACAACCACGCCGGCGCGGGTGTGCAGGCTCTTCACTTCATGAGTCAACAGACCCCCGAAGGGACGGTCGGAGGGAAGAGGGAGGAGGGCGGAGAGGCACTGATTCACTAGACGGTCACGTTTAATTGCAAGAGAAGCTGAGAAATGTCCTGCCCCTCCTCTCACTGGAAATGAGAAAACACGAGGGAGAAAGAAGCCTTTCCTCCTGCTCACGAGGTCAGGAATCGCTCGCTCGCTCGCTCGCTCCTTCCCTCCCTCGCTCCCTCGCTCCCCCAAGTCGTGTCAACCCTCTCCTCTTCTCCTTCCTCTCCCTCTTTCCTTCTTGGCACACCTGTGGAGGATCGGAGCTCGCTTGCATACCCAACCATGTCCTCGAGCGGCACCTACAGTAGAAGTCAGACACCTCCAACGAGTCGCGATACACAAGGTGTGGAGGAAGCGAACAGGAACGATGACAGGGAGGAGGTGAAAGAGAGGGAGGAGCAGGAGAGGAGGAGTACAGCAAGAAGAGTAATAGCAGGAGCAGGAGCAGGAGCAGGAGCAGGAGCAGGAGCAGGAGCAGGAGCAGGAGCAGGAGCAGGAGCAGGAGCAGGAGCAGGAGCAGGAGCAGGAGCAGGAGCAGGAGCAGGAGCAGGAGCAGGAGCAGGAGGATCGCACCATGGCCTTGATGATCTGTCGGCCATCAGGAAGGGTGTCCAGTCGCTCGATGTCTGCGTTCCTGTTGGAGGTCAAGTCGCTCATCACCGTCCCGACGTGCGACTCTGCGCAAGCTAGTCAGTCACAACGAGAGGGAGAGGAGAGGGAGGATGGGAGGGGGAGAGGGGGAGAGGGGGAGAGGAGGTGGGAGGGAGTGGGAGGAAGAATGGAACAGGAGACATTGCAAGGAAGACTGGAACGACAAGGGATGACGAGCAGGGAAGGAGGAGGAAACTGAGGAATGAGGAAGGATGGTGACTACAGTGTCGAGGACGAGGAGGAAAAAAAGGACGAGGAGAGGCGAGGAGGAGGCGGCGGGAGATACCGAGGGCTGTAACCTCCACATGCATGATAGGCTGGAGTTTCGTGGGATTCGCTTCCATGATGCAGGTCTTGACCGCCATGCTCGCCCCCAGACTTTTCATCGTCAGGCAGATCAAACATCCTTCTCTCCTCCTTCTCCTGCTCCTTCCCCTGTTCCTTCATCTCCTGCTCCTTCATCTCCTGCTCCTCGTGATACTCTTGATCTGGATGTTTCGTTTTGTCCTCTCCTTCTCCACTATCTTGACCTCTCCTCATCCCTCTCTAATCAACATCTCCAATTCTCTCCTCCTTCTCCTTGAGTACCTCAGTGCCGATAAGGTTGTGTCTGCCGATGTCTTCACCTGAGTGCAAGTTACAATCTTCCCGCTCTTCTCCTCCTTTCCTTCTGCCCTCCTCCTCCTCCTCCTCAACTCACCTCGTCAACCGTCACTCGCGTCCTCAAGATCGGCATGCCCAGGAGCGGGCCAGCAGTAAGGGCAGCTGAGATTCCCTACGCCCTCGCACAGTCAGGCGAGCAGCAGCATTGCTCGCTTGCCGACTCACATTCTCGACCGCCTCCTCCGCATCCGCCTCGCTGAACTCTGCTCCTCCTCTCAGTCCTTGCGCGTCCCCCCCCCCCCCCACCTCCTGACCTGGAGAGCCAACCGCTGCCTTGGAGGCATCGATGACGTTACTCTCCTCCTGTTGGGCCCGTCAGAATCGTCGCATCCTCTTGCTCGGGCGCTGACGTCGTTGGGCTCAACGGTGATGAGGAATTCAGCCTGCGTCCTCTTGCCCTTGAAGACAGCGTCGTAGGAGTACCTGGGAGGAGGAAGAGATGAGGGGGAGGGGAATAGGAGGGAATTGGGCACAGAGAGAGAGAGAGAGAGAGAGAGAGAGAGAGAGAGGAGGAGGAGGACAGGTACGGGCAAGGATTTGGAGTGGAGAGCATGTCTGAGGGAGGAGAGAAGGAAGGGGATAACCGTTTACCTCTTCTGTACTTTGCTCTTGATTGACTCCCTATAGGTGATCTGAATCTTCCCCGCCACGGCCTATAGAGACTTTCTGAGAGAAGAGTACCGAGAAGGCGAGGAGAGGAGAGGAGAAAGGAGGGAGGAGAGAGGAGAAGAGAGGAGACGAGACGAGACAAGAGGAGAGGAGAGCAACAGAGGGGAGGGGAGACGAGAGCAGAGCAAAAAACAAAAGAAGAGAAGACGAAGAGGAGGGGAGGAGAGGAATAGGAATAGGAATTTTCTATTCACCTTCACTCCATAGTTTCTCTCCAACTTTGTGCAGGCAACCTAAAGACCAGACAGACGGTGAGTCAGGCATCCATTCATTCATTTCCTTCCCCCTGCCATTCCCTCCCCCTCATCTCCCCCTCCTCTCCTCCTCATTCTCCTCCTCCCCACCTCTCGCTCTAATCCCTTGCCCTCCTCCTCCTCTTCGCTTTTCTTCCTCCTCGGCCTCCCTCTCCTGCCTCCCCCATCCACTCTTATCTTTGTCACCGGACCTCGAGGT